CGGGTGGGCGGGTGCAAGCAGCGTTCGATTGAAGAGCATGCATTTAGTTTTACTAGTGTTTAAGAGCAGTTGGAGGCTACGGAAGGAGTGTTGTATGGCGTTGAAGCTCGTTGGGAGGTTTGTTAACACAGTGTCCAATGAAGGGCCAGATGTATACAAAATGGTGTCGTCCGCATAGAGGTGGATCCGAGCGTCACCAGCAGCAAGAGCAACAATATTGATATACACAGAGAATAGAGTCGGCCCGAGAATTGAACCCTGTGGCACCCCCATAGAGACTGCCAGAGGTCCAGACCACAGGCCCTCAGATTTTACACATTGAACTCTATCTGAGAAGTAGTTGGTGAACCAGGCGAGGCAGTCATCCGAGAGACCAAGGCTATTTAGTCTGCCAATAAGAATGCAGTGGTTGACAGAGTCGAAAGCCTTGGCCAGGTCGATGAAGACGGCTGCGCAGTACTGTCTTTTATCGATCGCGGTTATAATATCGTGGCTGAGGTGCACCCATGACCAGCTCGGAAACCGGATTGCATAGCGGAGAAGGGGTAGTGGTAGCCAGGTGGAAAGCATGGCCAGCTGTAGCAAAATGCTTGTTGAAATTCTCGATTATTGTAGATTTATCGGTGGTGACAGTGTTTCCTAGCCTCAGTGCAGTGGGCAGGTGGGAGGAGGTGCTCTTATTCTCCATGGACTTTACAGTGTCCCAAAACTTTTTGGAGTTAGTGCTACAGGATGCAAATTTCTGTTTGAAAAACCTTTGCTTTCCTAACTGATTGTGTATATTGGTTCCTGACTTCCCTGAAAAGTTGCATATCGCGGGGGCTGTTCGATGCTAATGCAGTACGCCACAGGATGTTTTTGTGCTGGTCAAGGGCAGTCAAGTCTGAGGAGAACCAGGGGCTATATCTGTTCTTAGTTCTGAATTTTTTTAATGGGGCATGCTTATTTAAGATTAAGAGGAAAGCACTTTTAAAGAACAACCAGGCATCCTCTACTGACGGAATGAGGTCAGGATACCCGGGCCAGGTCAATTAGAAAGGCCTGCTCGCTAAAGTGTTTTAGGGAGTGTTTGACAGTGATGAGCGGTGGTCGTTTGACCGCGGACCCATTACGGACGCAGGCAATAAGGCAGTGATCGCTGAGATCCTGGTTGAAGACAGCGGAGGTGTATTTAAAGGGTAAATTTGTCAGGATGATATCTATGAGGGTGCCCATGTTTACAGATTTTGGGTTGTACCTGGTAGGTTCGTTGATAATTTGTGTGAGATTGAGGGTATCTAGTTTAGATTGTAGGTTGGCTGGGGTGTTAAGCATATCCCAGTTTAGGTCACCAAGCAGTACGAACTCTGAGGATAGATGGGGGGCGATCAGTTCACATATGGTGTCCAGGGCACAGCTCGGGGCTGAGGGGGGTCTGTAGCAAGCGGCAACAGTGAGAGACTTATTTCTGGAAAGGTGGATTTTTAGAAGTAGAAGCTCAAACTGTTTGGGCACAGACCTGGATAGTATGATAGAGCTCTGCAGGCTCTCTACAGTAGATTGCAACCCCACACCCTTTGGCAGTTCTATCGAGACGGAAAATGTTGTAGTTGGGGATGGACATTTCTGAATTTTTGGTGGCCTTCCTAAGCCAGGATTCAGACACTGCTAGAACATCAGGGTTGGCGGAGTGTGCTAACGCAGTGAATAACTCAAACTTAGGGAGGAGGCTTCGGATGTTAACGTGCAAGCAACCAAGGCTTTTACGGTTACAGAAGTCAACAAATGATAACGCCTGGAGAGTAGGAGTGATACTGGGGGCTACAGGGCCTGGGTTAACCTCTACATCACCAGAGGAACAGAGGAGGAGTAGAATAAGGATACGGCTAAAGGCTTTAAGAACTGGTCTTCTAGTGCGTTGGGTACAGAGAAAAAAGGGGGCAGATTTCCGGGCGTTGTAGAATAGATTCAGGGCATTATGTACAGACAAGGCTATGGAAGGATATGAGTACAGTGGAGGTAAACCTAAGCGTTGGGTAACGATGAAAGAGATAGCATCACTGGAGGCACCGATTGAGTCGGTCTCTGCGTGTATGGGGGGTGGGACAAAGGAGCTGTCTAAGGCAGGCTGAGCTGGGCTGGGGGCTCTACAGTGAAATAGTACAATAAGAAATAACCGAAACCGCAATAAGCAAGGCATATTGAAATGGGAGAGAGGCATAAAGCAATCACAGGTGTTATTCGAGAGAGCTAAGATAACAGCTGGTAATGGCAACAAAGTTTGGGCTGAGGCTAAACATAAACAGGATGCGGTACCATATAAAGGAACAGTCTAGCAGGCATCAGCTGTATAGCTGAGTTATCATAAGGTCCGGTGAACAGCAATAGGAGAGTTCGGAGGTAGTTCGGGGGCTGCTACAGCACTGGCGAGCAAGAGGCCAGGCTTGCGTGTGATAGCGGGACGGGGCTAGCAGATGGATCTTCGTGGTCGACGTCGTAACGGGAAGCCTGTTGAAACCACATCAGACGATTTCGTCGGCAAACCAGTCGTGTTGGATCGGCGGGGCTCCGTGTCAACACTAGGAGGTCCCGTCCGGTTGACAGAGAGGTAGATAGCCGGGAGATGGGCCTGGCTCGAGGCTAGCTCAAGGCTAACTGGTGCTTGGTAAGGGGCAATGGTAATTAGCCAACGACAACAGCCATTTGGTTGCAGCTAGCTGGTTGCGATGATCCGGCGCTAGGGTCCAGTGATTCCGGCAGAAAATCCGATATGGTCTGGGTCGATAGCACGCTGTGCAGACTGGCCGACAAATTGTCCAGGCTAGAGCTAGAGCTGGCTGGTGGGTAGTGCAGGCCATGGACAATGGTGAAGACGCTAACGGTGGCTAATAGCAAGTAGCCATTCGGTTGCAGCTAGACTAGTTTCAGCTTAAGGTTCTTGATAAAAGTTATAAAGAAATAATATAATCCTTTCCACGTTGGGTGAGGCAGGTTGCAGGAAAGTATATTTAGTTAAAGAATGAAAAGTAAAAATTGAGAAATATATACAAAATAGACACACAAAAAAAAATACCTGGCTATTTACACAAGGACACCGAAAAAAACACGACCGCACTGCTACGCCATCTTGGATATATTGAAGCAACATCTCAAGACATCAGTCAGGAAGTTAAAGCTTGGTCGCAAATGGGTCTTCCAAATGGACAATGACCCCAAGCATACTTCCAAAGTTGTGGCAAAATGGCTTAAGGACAACAAAGTCAAGGTATTGGAGTGGCCATCACAAAGCCCTGACCTCAAATCCCATAGAAAATGTGTGGGCAGAACTGAAAAAGCATGTGCGAGCAAGGAGGCCTACAAACCTGACTCAATTACACCAGCTCTGTCAGGAGTAATGGGTCAAAATTCACCAAACGTATTGTGGGAAGCTTGTGGAAGGCTACCCGAAACGTTTGACCCAAGTTAAACAATTTAATACCAAATACTAATTGAGTGTATGTAAACTTCTGACCCACTGGGAATGTGATGAAAGAAATAAAAGCTGAACTAAATCATTCTCGCTACTATTATTCTGACATTTCACATTCTTAACATAAAGTGGTGATCCTAACTGACCTAAGACAGGGAATTTTTACTAGGATTAAATGTCAGGAATTGTGAAAAACTGAGTTTAAATGTATTTGGCTAAGATGTATAAACTTCCGACTTCAACTGTAGGTCTTCTATCCCTGATATCCTTCAACCCTGATCATATTCTTCTCTCTCTGCATCAACGACTACCTGTCCACTCCAAACGTCTTAGAGTACAGAGGCTTTTCATTGTTCTTAATTGTTTTACATTTTGGTAAAGGAACCATGGATAGATGCATAATATTTATAACTGTAGTTTGAGTATTTTATCAACTTAAATCTGAAGAAAAAACGATTTATGCTCAGGTTGATTGAATATTAGGGATATCAACACACAATCCCCACGTTTCAATACAAACTGGGCTTAATAGGATCATCCTGGGCTTAATTGGAACAGCAATAATTTACGGTGAAAAATACAAAATAGCTGAGTTTACTCACAAAATATTTGGAAACCAATGGTCTGGGGTATAAATATACACTATATACTACAATATTATGCAAAGTTAGTATTGATCAATATTTCTTTACATTCTGTATAGAGGGGGTGTTTTGTGCTACTGTACCCTTTCAGATAAATGTCCAATTTACAAAAAAGGCATCTATGTATAAAAATGCAAGGTTCATTTAACAGTCAAATAAGACAAAATGCATTAAAAAATATGAGCTGTGAGTGCTTGAGATCTATTATATTGTTGTGGTTCACCAAGCTATGTTGCTACTGTATTGACTGTGACATGTGGTACGACTGCTAGCATGACAAATCCATATTTTCAATAGGCACGAAAGTCATTAATACCCATGTAGGATGCTATCATGTGCATATATCAACACGTTAATCTCTCAATTTTACATTAAGTATGATCACTTATCTGAGGTACTAAAAATATCTGAAAATGTGTTTATCTGAGTCGCCTCCACACCAACGTTTTTTTGCAGCTTTGAAATTGGCCACTAGTAGGAACTTACACATAACTGTCAATAACTTAATAAGAAAACATCTAATTGGCTTAGAATAAAAACCACCATATGAACTGGTTGAAACATTAGATTTAATCCAAAAAAGGAAGTGGGCTTAATGTGTATGTGGACTTAAACAGTAGGTACACTTAACCTAGTCCAAGTCAAGAGGATGTTTTAGCAGTCCTTTACTGGCTGATTTAGTAACACGGCTTTATAGTGAGTGCTCTAAGATGTTAGAAAGTGCTCTGAGATGTTAGAGCTCACACTGAAATTGCACAGCAAAACAGTCTTCCATACATGTTTAATATCTGGAAAAAAAATGTTAATTGGATGCAGTGCACCGTGGACATAGAGAGAACATAGAGAGAACACCCTCTATCTAGACATAGAAAACACACTGTCTGGCCATGACCGGGTTTAATACTGACCTTAATGTGATCCAGAACGGCGGTGGCTACGTTAGTGTGGAGGTCAATCAGCCTCTTCTTCTCCAGAAGCTCTGGTAGGGAGCTAGTAGAGGAAACACAGAACAGTTTTGGTACAGACTAAGCACTGTCAATAATGGCGCAGCAATGAATAAATAAATAATAATACAGATAAATACTGTATATTCTACAATGATGCTCACCTGACAGCTGAGGTAAGTTTTGCGGTGTTGTCTGACATACTAATACTACTAATGGCTCCCTCATCCTCACCCTCCAACCCCTGGAGAAGACAAAAAGTGTTATTTTAGTGGGGAATATGCAAGTGTGAGTGAAGTCCATTGTTTTCAGTGAGACTACTTAATTGAACCGCTCTATAAAACCACCTGTGTGCCTTCTTACCATGATGCTCTTGAGGCGTTTCACCTCGTCCTCTTGGGCTCGGTACGTGTCTAACTCCTCCTGTACAGACTCAGCCACCTCCGGGAACGGGCTGGAAGAGTCAAAACAACCCCTCAGCCAAGAATAACTTCACTACAGCAAAGCTTGAAATATACTGTTGCTACTGAGTTATAAAGCATAACTTTAATAATCGTTTGAAATATACTGTTACTATTGAGTTATAAAGCATCAAATGCAGACTACCTTCTAAATCAGCAGTTTAATCACACTTTAGCCAATGGAATGGAGTTTCTAACAAGCAAAGCTTGGAATATACTGTTGCTACCTAGTTGTAAAGCGTCGGCCACAAGCTACCTCTAAATCAGTAATCATCACAAGTGAGTTCCTAACCTGCCCTTGTGTTTCTGCCAGAATTTGTCTGCGGCTGTGAGGTCATAACTCTTCTTGTTCTTCTTCTTGGGTCTGGCTCCGGAAGGAGAGGCTTCTGACCCCACAGACTCGTCCATACTGACCCTGTTCAGGTGGAAATCCTAGGGACACACACAGAAATACATTAGTCACACACACACACACACAGCAAAATCATTTCTACTACTGCAAATAGAGTCATTTCTGAGTGATTGTGTTTTTCAGTGTTGGGATGGTGGTTGGCGGCTGGCAGAGATCCTTTGGATGTGTAGTCTGGTCATATTTCTGCTCACATCATCGGAAAAAAGACTGGTCCATAGATACCTCTGGGATAAACATTGATACCTACTTACATCATCATAATACCTACATTCAAAATAACAACCGTTATCATAAATATATTGAGGTTAAAACAAAGGACACGCAATCCTAAAAACTAAGGGAGGGAGAGGAGACAGATTCGTACATTCTACACCAGAAATAATTTTAAGGCAGGGATGCTGGAAAATGGTTCCTCACAAATATTTACGACCTCTGGCACAGGTCACTGCACTGAGCACATACCACAGCATTTACCCTCTTCTTTGTCTTACACACAAAGTAATTGCAGTAGCACTACCTTGAAAAATCACACACCATGGGGTATATATATATATATACCCTATTCATACTTCTGAGCCGAGCCGTTCATACTCATAGTTCATCCTACACAGAGCGTTAAAACAACCATATACCCAATAACACCACTCACCATAAATTAGTCAAGTCTCATAGGTAAGCCCTTAGTTTTTGTCAAAGTGTATGATGTGTCTGTTAAGTCCATCATAACAGAGTGGTGGGAGTATGACAGACAGATGTGCTCCTCTCTCCCTCCCCCTGTATCCCTGGCTTCCTGTTAGTCTTACCAGCACATCGTGGATGAGGGCCTGGTAGGTCCATGTGTGGTGGAGGGGGGTGGCAAGATCCAGGTTGCGGTCAGCGAGTACAAATAGGGGTCTCTGGAAGCTGAAGAGAAAGAGAGACACAAACAGACAGAGGGAGAGAGAGAGAGAGAGATAAAACAAGAGGATGATAAATGTACCCAGAGTTCCCCACTGGCTAGGCTCTCTCTCTGCTCCACCAAAGCTGAAACAAAAGAAGACTTGAAATGGATCCTACTTAGAGCTTCCCAGAGGAGGCATGACTGTTTTCACTTCATCCACCACTTAGCGAAGCTAACTACTCAGTGGGTCTGGAGAGCAGAGGAGAGGAGAAAAGCAGGATAGCACATTTCCACCTCAGAGTTAGACAAAGACATTGTGTAGCACAGTGTGTGTGTGGGAAGCCATTTTATGTGTTCGTCTTAGAGAATGGAGTAGGCCTTCCGTGGTACCGTACAGAATCATGATATTAATGTCTTCATCTAGTCTGCTCTCTTTATGGTTCATACCCAGTGTACTAGTCTGCACCCTGACCCACCTGAATTGGCCGGCCCCCATGTTGTCTCCAGTGAACAGGCTGTTTCTGGCGTCTCGCAGGTTCTCCCTCAGCTTCTTGTCAAGTTTCTGCAACAAACAGAGAAACTGGGTTAGATAGTTTTGCCTCTTATGTAGCTAGGTAAGAGGCCTTACATTACATTTTAGTCATTACATCTTCTTAACCGGATATACACTAAGCACACAGTCCTGCAGCGTTCCACTGAGAGACCCCCACCACAACACAGCAATACAGTATAGGGAACAAAGAGCAGTGCTGTGTGACTAGAGTAACAACACTGCATCCATCCATTAAGGCTCTTGGAGGATCAGCTTCAACACCGACTGCATCAACATTCCTCCCCACATCAAGAATCTACCTGCAAATACTGTCTGCAAACGGTGAGATTCTGGAGGTGGGTGGATTTGGATGTCGTCCTCAAATTACTAATTTCTCCTTTCACTGTACCCACTGGGGATGGGTACTACTCTCCCTCTCCCAGCCGTGTCTGCACTGCCAAGACGTAATACAAAGAGTATTCAAACTGACAGACAGACTCGGCCCCTGACAGCGGCTGAGGAGACTTCAGAGAGTTATAAATGAGGAAGGATGATGCTCACCACTGCGACCATCTCCGCAGCATTCCCTCTTGGACAGCGGATTATGGGGACAGCACCTAAGAAAACAAAACAGATGTGTTAGCTGCCAATAGAGGGCATTGAAGACTTTAGCAGAGCTTGTCTATAGAGAATATGAGGATGTGCTGTGAATCCCATGAGGATAAAACTGAGAATCGTATACAACCTGCAAGGTAGGCATGCAGTGGGTTTGCTTTGCTCAATGTGTCATATAGTCACATTTTCAGACAACACCCTTGGCCTTTACTTTCAAATAGTTTTCCTCTCTAGGAAATATTTTCTTGGTATTGCTTCGATTCAAGTGAGTAATAACAAAAGTGACGCTGCCATCTAGCAGGGAGAAAATGGTACAACCAGGTACCACCTGAGTAAATGAAACAATCTTACAGTATTTTGAAATACCAAAGCAATGTTCTCTCGAGCAGTCTCAATAGTATTGTGGCATTAATAATATTTTGTTGAAAGACCCACCCAGAGTGACAAAGAAGCAGAAGAGGCTGTCTACTATCGTATCCATGATGGCCTCCATCTCTGTGTCCATGATGTCCGGTTTGTTAATTGCTAATCAAAAGGGAATAGGAAAACAGGAAGTCAAATACAATCATGCCAGCTAATCAAGAATAAGATCTGATGAAAATGGCAAAGTGCAATCTAGCCCCGTTTCTGAATCCAATTAACTTACCATGGTAGGAGATGAGCTCTTTATTTTGATTACAGAGGATGAACATATCATCTTCGAGTGTGATGAAATTCAAATACTGATCGAACACCTACGAAAGCAAAAAATACCTTACTATTACAAGGCTGTCCAATACCCTGTAATGTGTTGAGTTTTAGAAAATGACTAGGACGGAGTCACAAATGGCACCCTATCCCATATATAATACACTACTTTTGACCAGAGCCCTACAGGAAAAAAAGTAGTGCACTATATAGGGAATAGGGTACCATTTGAGACGCAACCTGGAGGTGAACTAGTATGTGGTAGACTCACCTTGGTAACCTGGGTGACAGCGTTGGCTGAGAGAGCTGCACTGGCAATATCCTCTAGTTTACTTCTGGATATGGCTGAGATGAAGTTCAAATAGTATGACTCATACAGCTGGTTACGAAGATCCTGAGAAAAATAAAACAAAACAATGGAATGGAATGTAACAATATACTGACTGGTAGGATGTTACATGTCTGGGATGTAACGTTTGGACAACAAATAATTTTATCTGGCCAAGGCCACCAAATGCATAGGCTCAGTGGCCCAATACATTTTTCTTATCATCTCTAGAACTATCCTGAGTTTAATCATAGCTGATGATGTAATATTGATATTCTGAGTGAGGGATGCTTACTTGGCATATCCGGTCAATGTTCTCCTCTGTCGGCATAACAAAATAGATGGCTGGCACATCCGGGATGGGATCTCTGTCTGAATGAAGCAACCTATAGAGAATTATAAAATACATTGAAGACCAGCCTCTTCAATTCTTTGTCTGGTGTATCATGATTTTAGTTTTCTCAACATTTACCTTTTGTGAAGGGGATTAATAGATTTTTAAAAGTTATGTCAAATTGTGAGTTACTCACAAGTGCAAAGTGATCCCCATGTCCCGTAGTTCTTTGACCGCCAGTAGGGGGGAGATTATGTCCTGGCCAAACCTGTCGTAGATCAGCACCTTCCATACCGGCTCAGCAGCAGTGTTTTTCAACGGAGGAGCGTTGAAATTCAGCATGCGCTTCAAGGCAGCTAGGGACACAGAAGAATACTGTATAAAGTCATGCTTGGCCAATGTTTAAGATTATGTAAAATATAAAATATTTGTGCAATATGTGCTGCACATCCCACCACACCCCCAAACCCTTCGGACAGTCACCACTTTCGCCCCACTAAACATGGCACAGGACTGGGGGAACTGGGACTTTGCCATACCATTTCTGCCACTCAATGAGTGAAATAGTTAAGATGAGTGAAATAGCTAGATTGCTAGCTAGCAAGTTAGCCACCCATCCAAATGAACGATACAGCAGTCAGTTTAGCTTTTTCTGTCAGTCATTCACTGCGTAGCACTCCTGTTCCTTGACATGACAACCACATCAAAGTGTCTAGTGAATTCATGAGTAGTGGTAAGTGTAGGTTAGCCATCCGACTTGTTGCCACTTTATTATAATATTATTGTAACGTTTTCGTTAGGTAGCTAATACGTTAGCTTAGCATTGATTTTCTCATGAAGATGGCTGGTGGCCTTCGTGGAAGTTCGTATTTTATTCAACAGGCTAGGGTCAGAGAAAATAGTCGGTTTTACAATGTGAAGCCACAATTCGACAGCCTATTTTCAGGAAAAATCTATTAACGAAACCACAGACCTGCCTGCTTTTCCCGGACGGAGGCGGCCATCTTTTCTGTTTATGCAGTGAAGGGGGAACGGATGACGTGGCAGCCAAGTGTAGTTCGATGACGTCTCCTAAATATCGAAAATTATCGCCATCCACTGTACCTGTGGGCTTTGCTACCACAACTTTTGATAAACTTGTGTGTGTGTGTGTGTGTGTGTGTGTGTGTGTGTGTATACAGTACCAGTCAAAAGTTTTGACACACCTACTCATTCAAGGGTTTTTCTTTATTTGTACTATTTTCTACATTGTAAAATAATAGTGAAGACATCAAAGCTATGAAATAACATATGGAATCATGTAGTAACCAAAAAAGTGTTAAACAAATCAAAATATATTTTATATTTGATATTCTTCAAAGTAGCCACCCTTTGCCTTGATGACAGCTTTGCACACGCTTGGCATTCTCTCAACCAGCTTCATGAGGTAGTCACCTGGAATGCATTTCAATTAACAGGCGTGCCTTGTTAAAAGTTCATTTGTGGAATTTCTTTCCTTAATAGTTTGAGACAATCAGTTATGTTGTGACAAGGTAGGGGTGGTATACAGAAGATAGCCCTATTTGGTAAATCATGTAGTAACCAAAAGTGTTAAACAAATCGAAATATATTTTGGATTCTTCAAAGTAGCCACCCTTTGCCTTGATGACGCTTGTTGTGATGTGTGTTTGGTCCTATATTTATATATACATATATTTTTTTAATCCCAGCCCCCGTCCCCGCAGGAGGCCTTTTGCCTTTTGGTAGGTCGTCATTGTAAATTGTAAATAAGAATTTGTTCTTAACTGACTTGCCTAGTTAAATAAAGGTTCAATAAAAATAAATAAAAAATGACAGCTTTGCACACTCTTGGCATTCTCTCAACCAGCTTCATGAGGAATGCTTTTCCAACAGTCTTGAAGGAGTTCCCACATATGCTGAACACTTATTGGCTGCTTTTCCTTCACTCTGTGGTCCAACTCATCCCAAACCATCTCAATTTGGTTGAGGTTGGGTGATTGTGGAGGCCAGGTCATCTGATGCAGCACTCCATCACTCTCCTTGGTCAAATAGCCCTTACACAGCCTGGAGGTGTGTTTTGGGTCATTGTTCTGTTGAAAAACAAAAGATAGTCCCACTAAGCGCAAACCAGATGGGATGGCGTATCGCTGCAGAATGCTGTGGTAGCCATGCTGGTTAAGTGTGTCTTGAATTCTAAATAAATCACAGACAGTGTCACCAGCAAAGCACTCCCACACCTCCTCCTCCATGCTTCACAGTGGGAACCACACATGCGGAGATCATCCGTTCACCTACTCTGCGTCTCACAAAGACACGGCGGTTGGAACCAAAAATCTCAAATTTGGACTCATCAGACCAAAGGACAGATTTCCACCGGTCTAATGTCCATTGCTCGTGTTTCTTGGCCCAAGCAAGTCTCTTATTATTGGTGTCCTTTAGTTGTGGTTTCTTTGCGGCAATATGACCATGAAGGCCTAATTCACGGAGTCTCCTCTGAACAGTTTATGTTGAGATGTGTCTGTTACTTAAACTCTGTGAAGCATTTATTTGGGCTGCAATTTCTGAGGCAGGTAACTCTAATGAACTTATCCTCTGCAGCAGAGGTAACTCTGGGTCTTCCTTTCCTGTGGCAGTCCTCATGAGAGCCAGTTTCATCATAGTGCTTGATGGTTTTTGTGACTGCACTTGAAGAAACTTTCGAAGTTCTTGAAATGTTCCGTATTGACTGACCTTCATGTCTTAAAGTAATGATGGACTGTCGTTTCTCTTCGCTTATTTTAGCTGTTCTTGCCATAATATGGACTTGGTCTTTTACCAAATAGGGCTATCTTCTGTATACCACCCCTACCTTGTCACAACACAACTGATTGTCTCAAACTATTAAGGAAAGAAATTCCACAAATGAACTTTTAACAAGGCACACCTGTTAATTGAAATGCATTCCAGGTGACTACCTCATGAAGCTGGTTGAGAGAATGCCAAGAGTGTGCAAAGCTGTCATCAAGGCAAAGGGTGGCTACTTTGAAGAATCTCAAATATAAAATATATTTTGATTTGTTTAACACTTTTTTGGTTACTACATGATTCCATATGTGTTATTTCATAGTTTTGATGTCTTCACTATTATTCTACAATGTAGAAAATAGTAAAAATAAAGAAAAACCCTTGAATGAGTAGGTGTGTCCAAACTTTTGACTGGTACTGTATATATATATATATATATATATATATATATATATCACATCACTGGTCTGCTTGATTCAATTAGGTTTCCCAAAACCTCACTAGGATAGATGACTGTAAAATGATAGGGCATGCTGAATACACTGATATGCACTTATCTAACACATTTTGAATACTGTTGGGGGAAAAATCTCAACCATCACAAATATATTTCAGAGAGTAAATGCAAACATTTTATTTGGCGTAAGTAAAATGCTTGAGAATGAAGTTACAAAAATATAAAATACCAAGTCAACACCAGAGATGCAACATGAACAGTACATCGTAAACAGAAGCTACAACAATTATGAACACAGAAAATGTAGCATAATTGACAGGACTTTACTGAAAATTCTGATACACACAGACACTATGTACAACATAAAATAAATCTAAGAGAATCCCAAATGAAGCAACAAACATTTCATTCCAAACATATTACCATTCAAACAAAGAAATGACCATTCAAACAAATGTAGCACCTATCATGACCCTTTTAACTATTAAAGTAGTGTAAAATTGTTCCTGAAAGTCAACAGCTGAAGCCTATGATAGAAAATACATATTATATCTGTCATGATGGAAATACCCTCCCTAAATCTTCTATAAAAGTCTATGAAGCGAGTCCTTTTTAATTTAAGTCCAAAATCTGAATGAAACGTGTCCCTCAAGTTCAGTAATAGTCATGTAGAGTTGTGTTTATATAGAACAAGACAGTCTGTGATCAAATGGCCTGCATCACTGTGAGCTGGCACACTGCATACTCCATATTCTTCTTAAAGACTTGGTAGGATGGCACCACAGGCAGCAGCAGGTGGTTAGAGCTGGGCTGGCTCTTGGGAAAGGCCCCAGCAGGGTCCAGGGGGTTGAGGAAGGATAAGGTAGGGTTGGGGCTGAACCCTACGGCTGGCACCACATCAGCAGAGGTGGCATAGATGAGCACGTCCTCTAGCGATGTTGCACATCTGCCAACTGAAACCAGAGAACAGAGAGACTGGTGAGGATGGGTAATATATGGAGACAGACAGGGACATTCATGTGCTTTTGTTAGTTTTACTGAATATACTTGTAATAGGAGTGTAGACTGTCTGAATGGCCTTCGAGTGTGTCTTTCTTATCATCACATAAATCATTCAATCAATCAGTCATTGGAGGTCAAAGTACCTTCACACTCCACTAGGTAGTGTCTCCAGAAGGTGAGCACAGCGCTCTCCTTCCCTGTGGTCTCTTCCTGTTCTGAGAACTTAACAGTGAAGAGGGCAGCCATGGTCTCAGCAGTCAGCTTGTCAGGAGAGGAACAGAACAGACCAACGAAGGCCCCCGGAAACATCTGGACCTGGTCAAACACACCAAGGGTTTTCAAACCTTCACGGAACCTAAAAACACAAAAAGGTTCAACAAAATATAGTTAAAAGCCCAGTGCAATAACAATCGTGATCTTCCTGTGTTATATATATATATATATATACACAGTACCAGTCAAAAGTTTGGACACACCTACTCATTCAAGGGTTTTTCTTTATTTTTACTATTTTCTACATTGTAGAATAATAGTGAAGACATCAAAACTATGAAATAACACATATGGAATCATGTAGTAACCAAAAAAGTGTTAAACAAATCAATTGCCTTGATGACAGCTTTGCACACTCTTGGTATTCTCTCAACCAGATTCATAAGGTAGTCACCTGGAATGCATTTCAATTAACAGGTGTTCCTTGTTAAAAGCTCATTTGTGGAATTTATTTCCTTCTTAATGCGTTTGAGCCAATCAGTTGTGTTGTGACAAGGTAGGGGGGGTATACGGAAGATAGCCCTATTTGGAAAAAGACCAGGTCCATATTATGGCAAGAACAGCTCAAATAAGCAAAGAGAAACAACAGGCCATCATTACTTTAAGACATGAAGGGCAGTCAATACAGAAAACTTCAAGAACTTTGAAAGTTTCTTCAAGTGCAGTCGCAAAAACTATCAAGCGCTATGATGAAACTGGCTCTCATGAGAACCGCCACAGGAAAGGAAGACCCAGAGTTACCTCTGTTGCAGAGGATAAGTTCATTAGAGTTACCAGCCTCAGATATTGCAGCCCAAATAAATGCTTCACAGAGTTCAAGTAACATACACATCTCAACATCAACTGTTCAGAGACTGTGTGAATCAGGCCTTCACGGTCGAATTGCTGCAAAGAAACCACAACTAAAGGACACCAATAAGAAGAAGAGACTTGCTTGGGCCAAGAAACACGAGCAATGGACATTAGACCGGTGGAAATCTGTCCTTTGGTCTGATGAGTCCAAATCAATCTACACACAATACCCCATAATGACAAAGCGAAAACAGGTTTTCAGAAATGTTTGCTAATTTATTTAAAATAAAAAACAGAAATACCCTATTTAAAATAAGTATTCAGACCCTTTGCTATGAGATTCGAAATTGAGCTAAGGTGCATCCTGTTTCCATTGATCATCCTTGAGATGTTTCTACAACTTGATTGGAGTCCACCTGTGGTAAATTCAATATAAGGTCCCACAGTTGACAGCGCATGTCAAAGCAAAAACAAAGCCATGAGGATGAAGGAATTGTCCATAGAGCTCAGAGACAGGATTGTGTCGAGGCACAGATCTGGGGAAGGGTACCAAAAAATGTCTGCAGCATTGAAGGTCCCCAAGAACACAGTGGCCTCCATCATTCTTAAATGGAAGAAGTTTGGAACCACCAAGACTCTTCCTAGAGCTGGCCGCCCAGCCAAACTGAGCAATCGGGGGAGAAGGGCCTTGGTCAGGGAGGTGACCAAGATCCCGATGGTCACTCTGACAGAGCTCCAGAGTTCCTCTGTGGAGATGGGACAACCTTCCATAAGGACAACCATCTCTGCAGCACTCCACCAATCAGGCCTTTATTGTAGAGTGGCCAGACAGAAGCCACTCCTCAGTAAAAGGCACATGACAGCCCGCTTGGAGTTTGCCAAAAAGGCACCTAAAGGATTCTCAGACCATGACAAACAAGATTCTCTGGTCTGATGAAACCAAGATTGAACTCTTTGGCCTGAATGCCAAACATCACATCTGGAGGAAACCTGGCACCATCCCTACGGTGAAGCATGGTGGTGGCAGCATCATGCTGTGGGGATGTTTTTCAGCGGCAGGGACTGGGAGACTAGTCAGGATTGAGGGAAAGATGAACGGAGCAAAGTAAAGAGAGATCCTTGATGAAAATCTGCTCCAGAGCGTTCAGGACCTCAGACTGGGGCGAAGGTTCACCTTCCAACAGGACAACAACCCTAAGCACACAGCCAAGACAACGCAGAAGTGGCTTCGGGACAAGTCTCTGAATGTCCTTGAGTGGCCCAGCCAGAGCCCGGACTTGAACACGATCGAACATCTCTGAAGAGACCTGAAAATAGCTGTGCAAAAATGTCTAAAAACCTGTTTTTGCTTTGTCTTTATGGGGTATTGTGTGGAGATTGATGAGTAAAAAAACAAACAATTTAATCCATTTTAGAATAAGGCTGTAATGTAACAAAATGTGGAAAAAGTCAAGGGGTCAGAATACTTTCCGAATGCACTGTATAGTAGAACTCTAGTAACAGTTTAAAATACAGTCTACGTTTACGTAAGGTAAATATGTTTGAGCAACAATAAAAACACATGTAGATGGTGAAACGGTCAAAAAGATACTTATGCAAACCTTTGGAAGGGTAACTGCATTCTTGTGATTAGGTGGAAGCTCACAATATCTTCAACAAGTGTGTCTTTTTCAGAAAGGCTGTCAACTGGTCTCATGCACCCAGCCACTTCCAGGTATTCTGAAGCTGACTGCATTGACACTCTCAATTCCTCCAAGCTTTTGGATTCCTGAATCTGAAGCAAAAGAGTTGTCAAATGAGTTAAAGGCTTTCAGTGTTTCCCCTAGGATTGCAGTGACAAAGTTCGTTCCTTTTGCTGGGGTGGTCGGGGGGCATGCACCCAGTGAGACATTTATTGTAGAATGACTGTGAGAAGGTCACTTCTGTTGACATTTTAAAAAGGACATTCTACTCCAAGAAAATGTTATAATATAACCTGTAGTCCAACTACTTAAATAAATAAGCTGAAGCATGGGGTTGCCCATCTGCATTTACCTAATTGAAAACCCCCAAGACTCAATGCATCAAACGCTACAAATATACATTATAACTCCAGGGTTTTTTCTGGATCAAAACAGGGCTTAGGTGGTGGGCGTGATGGGGGCGTGGTAGTGGCCAATGGCGTGGTCCACGACTGAACATTTTATAGGTCATCCTCTTGGCCGAAAGAGACAAAATGTTGCTGTTTTAAAGCCAATTTCCTGCTATTCTACATATTTTTCCATGGGGCGGAGAGAAGACTATGGTTTTAAAGCTAGTTTCCTGCAATTCAACACATTTTGACATGGCTTATGCTGTGTTCTTATGCTATCTGAGTGACTCAAACATTATAACAAGATCAATGTCATACCATGACATTTGGGGAATTTTTTATTCTCCCTGACTGTCTAGTTTTTATTTTGGCGATTATTAGTTCTCAAAGATTATCTTATGAAAAAATATATTAGGTCAATTATCTTTTCTACATACTTTATATTTGTTTTTAGTCGCTTAAGTTTACACTGAAAGTTTTACCATCCAAATATCTTCTCTAAAAATACATTTTTATTTTTTTTATATTTGTTTGAGGGGCGGAAATGATTTAGCAATGATTAGCCAATTAGGTGGCCTAGGGTGGTCCAGCGGTGATATACTGCAGCAGCTGTATCTTTATCTTTCCTCTTTATCGGTCCTATCCAATCAAAAAAAATTTTTTTTGGGGGGGGGGGAGATCGACTGCCCCACATTTAAACAAAATATAAGAGAGTAAAGAGGATCTAAGAGAGTAAAGAGACATGGTAAAAGATGTACCTTCTTGACTTTGTCTGTGAATCCAGTGTTGCCCATGTCCTCCACAGTAAGAGGGGTATCCCAGGGGAAATTGAACAGGCGCATGTAGAGAGCCCTGGAGAAGAAGCCCAGAGGAGGTCCCCCGTGGATCAGACTCAGGGACAGCAGACACCCCACGTCAAAGTAGACGTCCTCCCTCAGAGCTAGGGAAAACAGGACATAGAAATGAGACAATACATAAAAGCTGAGAACCTATAGAAACCACATCCCGTGTTTGATAAAAATATAACTCCAAAATGTATTGCTGAGCAATTAACCACATTTTCAGTTATTTGTAGCTTTTTAAACAACTAATTGACGGACGTTGGTTCAAATATTTGAATTCCATTTTATAAATGTTTTGGGGTGAGCTCAATCTGATAAATCAGATCCAGCCTGAACTGTGCGATGTAGTAGGGAGGTGTAGTTTCCAACAGGCCAATATTCTACATAGTTTAACGCATAAAACGTGGTAATAAAAAAAAAGAGACCATAATCCATTGCGCATCTACTTGTCCGGTCTGTGTTTCTTTTACGCCTGCTACAGAAGAGACGGAAAAATGCACAATCGATATTACAGTAAAACAGACAGATCCTAGTACTGATATTACAGTAAAACAGACAGATCCTAGTACTGATATTACAGTAACACAGACAGATCCTAGTACTGATATTACAGTAACACAGACAGATCCTAGTACTGATATTACAGTAACACAGACAGATCCTAGTACTGATATTACAGTAACACAGACAGATCCTAGTACTGATATTACAGTAACACAGACAGATCCTAGTACTGATATTACAGTAACACAGACAGATCCTAGTACTGATATTACAGTAACACAGACAGATCATCCTACAGCTATTACAGTAACACAGACAGATAGATCGTGAGGGGATATAGAGAGCAGCTGTTGCTTCGAGAGGTATCTCTCCCTGAAAATACAAAATCTAAGTGATCGATAGTTGGTATTCAGCAGTCATAAAAGTATGCTTTATTTACATTAACTACAAAGTAGTGATTTTGTCAGACAGCATAGGCAGCAGCTTAATAGAGATAAGATGACTTGGAATGAAATAATAAAGTCATCAAATAAAACAAATGTAATATACACAACTTAAATAATGTATTAAAGTAAAGTAATGTGAATAAATGGTAATTAAATTATAAGCAGTAATGGGCTACCATCATGGGACTTGTATTAATTGTTATATTCTGTGTTGTTACAGCATTCAATCCAAATAATTATAATCGAAACCAAAATCGAAAAACTGTGATTCTTTTTTATAATCGAACACAAAAAGCACTAAATCGCTCAGCACTACCAAAATGTAACTACGAATGCGAGTTTATGACCCCTGACTCAGCAAGGGATGGTGGTAGTGTGAGTTTATGATAGAGAGCTGGAGCGTGTTTTGTACAAGGGGGGATGGGAATTATTGACCTACCTTGTGCATCGAGGGTCAGGTTCTTGGCACCATCAGGACCTTCAAAGATAGTGTTCTGCAGCTGCTGCACCAGGAGGCTGAGGAAGCGCCGGGTGTTGCCAGGGCAGGTGCCGAGGCTGGGAATGTGCTTGCTGCTTGTAAATCTCACCGCCAGGGCATGGGACGGCTTGAAGTCGCTCCTCTTCACTAACTCCATGGCAGCCTCCAGGACCATGTTCCCACTCACCACCACTGGCATGGGCGGGTGGTGCTGTGATATCTGACTGGCAAGCTCCTGTAGGATCTCTTTAGCAGAGCCTCCCGACAACAATGGCCTGCCCATCATTAAAAACAATCAATGTTTATCTCCAATATGGCTGATGTGTTCTTAGCACAACATGTAAGGAAAGACTCAACAATTCCCCTGGAAAACATCTGGACTTGGTCTATGGCGGCAATAAAAATAATACTTTTTTAAAACTTATTTTATCGTAAAAAAAAAATAGATACCATGAATAAGTAGTTATTGAGATGGGAAGAGAGGGAAAGTGGCACAGTCGGGATTTGAACCCATGCCTCCAGGGGCAATGTGTGGTCCAGGGCCGGCAGCACTATCAATAGACCAGCCCCCGTCTGAAGGGCGCCATGGATTTCTGTGTGAGAAAATGCTAGACAATAATGTACAGTACCTTTTACAGACTATGGGTGATTGGCAAGGGGTCAGGATGAGACTCCTTTTAGAAGACATGCTTCTTCTCTGCCCAGGGGGCTGTGGAGAGTCAGTGTGTCTGGGTAGTGAAGCTAAACAAGAAAGAACACTGATTATTACAGAGATGTAGAGACTTCATACACACCCTAATAAAATCAGTTCTTCATTCCTATCATAACTGGTCTGGTCATAACTTCACTGTCCAGTTAGACTAAAACAAATACAGTATGGCAAATAGCCTACCTGTCCCATCCACAACTGCTGCACAGTCCTCACAAGCCCAGTCAGTCTCAAAAGCGTTGAGGGAAGCACACTTTCGGTGGGTACCTCTTGAGCCACAGAGCATGCAACGCAGTATTTGAAACCATCTGAAAACCAAAAAGACATATGAGACTCAAATGTATTTTAGCAATAAACACATTTTTGCCAGTCAACCATTTCAGCCACTCCCACACTACAGTAGAGCTTACCCAGTGCGTGAAGAGCATGTCCGACCACTGTGGGAGAGACATTTGTTGGCATCACAGTGCTGGTACACCTGCAGTAACTCTTCATAGGCATTTTCTTCCAGCTCCCAGGCTGCATCTCTGTGGCACACAGATACAGAATACTTTAGTTAAAACTCATAACGCCACAACACTAACACAATATAAATTAGTATTCTGCTCTGCTTTCAACCCCCCCCACACACAACACACATACTGTAGACACTGGAAAAGGCATAGGACAGTGATGAATAATGTTCTACAAGGTGAATAATACCTCTCTGGTATGTGGATTCCCATTCGGAGCATCTCCTGCTGGAACATGTCCTTGTTATTGCACAGAGTGCATCTGAAGAAGAACATGCCAGCACTGTGAGCCTGGTTCTGGAGGAATAGATAGAAAATAGATACAGTCGTATGAAAAAGTTTGGTACCCTTGACAATTTCCATGATTTCCATTTATAATTAATTGGGTGTTTGGATCAGCAATTTCATTTTGATCTATCAAATAACTGATGGACAAAGTAATATTTCAGTAGTGAAATTAGGTTTATTGGATTAACAGAAAATGTGCAATATGCATCAAAACAAAATTAGACAGGTGCATAAATTTGGGCACCCCAACAGAAAAATCACATCAATATTTAGTAGAGCCTCCTTTTGCTAAGATAACAGCCTCTAGACGCTTCCTATAGCCTCTAATGAGTGTCTGGATTCTGGATGAAGGTATTTTGGACCATTCCTCCTTACAAAACATCTCCACTTCAGTTAGGTTTGATGGTTGCCGAGCATGGCCAGCCCGCTTCAAATCATCCCACAGATTCTCAATGATATTCAGGTCTGGGGACTGGGATGGCCATTCCAGAACATTGTACTTGTTCCTCTGCATAAATGCCCGGGTAGATTTTGAGCAGTGTTTTGGGTCGTTGTCTTGTTGAAATATCCAGCCCCGGCATAACTTCAACTTTGTGACTGATTCTTCAACATTATTCCCAAGAATCTGCTGATATTGAGTGGAATCCATGCGACCCTCAACTTTAACAAGATTCCCAGTACCGGCACTGGCCACACAGCCCCACAGCATGATGGAACTCCCGCCAAATTTTACTGTGGGTAGCAAGTGTTTTTCTTGGAACGCTGTGTTCTTTTGCCGCCATGCATAACGCCCCTTGTTATGACCAAATAACTCAATCTTTTTTTTTTTTTTTTTAAGGGGGGTAGATCAGCTTAATATTGCAGATAGATTGTAAATTCCATCAATGTAATTGTCTGCATCACTTCCAATCCCCCATGTTTTTTTATTATATATATACACATACATACATATACACACATACATACACATATACACTGCTCAAAAAAATAAAGGGAACACTAAAATAACACATCCTAGATCTGAATGAATGAAATAATCTTATTAAATACCTTTTTCTTTACATAGTTGAATGTGCTGACAACAAAATCACACAAAAATTATCAATGGAAATCAAATGTATCAACCCATGGAGGTCTGGATTTGGAGTCACACTCAAAATTAAAGTGGAAAACCACACTACAGGCTGATCCAACTTTGATGTAATGTCCTTAAAACAAGTCAAAATGAGGCTCAGTAGTGTGTGTGGCCTCCACGTGCCTTTATGACCTCCCTACAACGCCTGGGCATGCTCCTGATGAGGTGGCGGATGGTCTCCTGAGGGATCTCCTCCCAGACCTGGACTAAAGCATCCGCCAACTCCTGGACAGTCTGTGGTGCAACGTGCGTTGGTGGTCATGCTGGAGGATGTTGCAGGCAGCAGAACGTTCTCCACGGCGTCTCCAGACTCTGTCACATCTGTCACATGTGCTCAGTGTGAACCTGCTTTCATCTGTGAAGAGCACAGGGCGCCAGTGGCGAATTTGCCAATCTTGGTGTTCTCTGGCAAATGCCAAACGTCCTGCACGTCCCCCACCTGTGGACGTCGGGCCCTCATACCACCCTCATGGAGTCTGTTTCTGACCGTTTGAGCAGACACATGCACATTTGTGGCCTGCTGGAGGTCATTTTGCAGGGCTCTGGCAGTGCTCCTCCTGCTCCTCCTTGCACAAAGGCGGAGGTAGCGGTCCTGCTGCTGGGTTGTTGCCCTCCTACGGCCTCCTCCACGTCTCCTGATGTACTGGCCTGTCTCCTGGTAGCGCCTCCATGCTCTGGACACTACGCTGACAGACACAGCAAACCTCCTTGCCACAGCTCGCATTGATGTGCCATCCTGGATGAGCTGCACTACCTGAGCCACTTGTGTGGGTTGTAGACTCCGTCTCATGCTACCACTAGAGTGAAAGCACCGCCAGCATTCAAAAGTGACCAAAACATCAGCCAGGAAGCATAGGAACTGAGAAGTGGTCTGTGGTCACCACCTGCAGAACCACTCCTTATTTGGGGGCGTCTTGCTAATTGCCTATAATTTCCACCTGTTGTCTATTCCATTTGCACAACAGCATGAGAAATGTATTGTCAATCAGTGTTGCTTCCTAAGTGGACAGTTTGATTTCACAGAAGTGTGATTGACTTGGAGTTACATTGTGTTGTTTAAGTGTTCCCTTAATTTTTTTGAGCAGTGTATATACAGTATCTCACAAAAGTGAGTACACCCCTCACAATATTTGTAAATATTTGAGAATATATTTTCATGTGACAACACTGAAGAAATGACACTTTGCTACAATGTAAAGTAGTGAGTGTACAGCTTGTATAACAGTGTACATTTGCTGTCCCCTCAAAATAACACAACACACAGCCATTAATGTCTAAACCGCTGGCAACAAAAGTGAGTACACCCCTAAGTGAAAATGTCCAAATTGGGCCCAAAGTGTCAATATTTTGTGTGGCCACCATCATTTTCCAGCACTGCCTTGGGCATGGAGTTCACCAGAGCTTCACAGGTTGCCACTGGAGTCCTCTTTCTCTCCTCCATGACGACATCACGGAGCTGGTGGATGTTAGAGACCTTGCACTCCTCCACCTTCCGTTTGAGGATGCCCCACAGATGCTCAATAGGGTTTAGGTCTGGAGACATGCTTGGCCAGTCCATCACCTTTACCCTCAGCTTCTTTAGCAAGGCAGTGGTCGTCTTGGAGGTGTGTTTGGGGTCATTATCATGTTGGAATACTGCCCTGCGGCCCAGTCTCCGAAGGGAGGGGATCATGCTCTGCTTCAGTATGACACAGTACATGTTGGCATTCATGGTTCCCTCAATGAACTGTAGCTCCCCAGTGCCGGCAGCACTCATGCAGCCCCAGACCATGACACTCCCACCACCATGCTTGACTGTAGGCAAGACACACTTGTCTTTGTACTCTTCACCTGGTTGCCGCCACACACGCTTGACACCATCTGAACAGTCTGCTTGTCTTCAGCAAACTGTTTGCGGGCTTCCTTGTGCATCATCTTTAGAAGAGGCTTCCTTCTTGGACGACAGCCATGCAGACCAATTTGATGCAGTGTGCGGCGTATGGTCTGAGCACTGACAGGCTGACCCCCCCACCCCTTCAACCTCTGCAGCAATGCTGGCAGCACTCATACGTCTATTTCCCAAAGACAACCTCTGGATATGACGCTGAGCACGTGCACTCAACTGCTTTGGTCGACCATGGCGAGGCCTGTTCTGAGTGGAACCTGTCCTGTTAAACCGCTGTATGGTCTTGGCCACCGTGCTGCAGCTCAGTTTCAGGGTCTTGTCAATCTTCTTATAGCCCAGGCCATCTTTATGTAGAGCAACAATTCTTTTTTTCAGATCCTCAGAGAGTTCTTTGCCATGAGGTGCCATGTTGAACTTCCAGTGACCAGTATGAGGGAGTGTGAGAGCAATGACACCAAATTTAACACACCTGCTCCCCATTCACACCTGAGTCCTTGTAACACTAACGAGTAACATGACACCGTGGAGGGAAAATAGCCAATTGGGCCCAATTTGGACATTTTCAGTTAGGGGTGTACTCACTTTTGTTGCCAGTGGTTTAGACATTAATGGCTGTGTGTTGAGTTATTTTGAGGGGACAGCAAATTTACACTGTTATACAAGCTGTACACTCACTACTTTACATTGTAGCAAAGTGTCATTTCTTCAGTGTTGTCACATGAAAAGATATACTCAAATATTTACAAAAATTATTTTCCAACCCCTCCACCCTTTCCCTACTTGGAGTAAATCAAATAACTCAATCTTTGTTTCATTAGTCCACAGCACCTTATTCCAAAATGAAGCTGGCTTGTCCAAATGTGCGTTTGCATACCTCAAGCGACTCTGTTTGTGGCGTGTGTGCAGAAAAGGCTTCTTCCGCATCACTCTCCCGTACAGCTTCTCCTTGTGCAAAGTGCGCTGAATTGTTGAACCGATGTACAGTGACACCATCTGCAGCAAGATGATGTTGTAGGTCTTTGGAGGTGGTCTGTGGGCTGTTTTTGACCGTTCTCACCATCCTTCGCCTTTGCCTCTCCGATATTTTACTTGGCCTGCCACTTCTGGCCTTAACAAGAACTGTGCCTGTGGTCTTCCATTTCCTCACTATGTTCCTCACAGTGGACACTGACAGCTTACATCTCTGTAATAGCTTTTTGTAGCCTTCCCCTAAACCATAATGTTGACCAATCTTTGTTTTCAGGTCATTTGAGAGATGTTTTGAGGCCCCCATGTTGCCACTCTTCAGAGGAGAGTCAAAGAGAACAACAACTTGCAATTGGCCACCTTAAATACCTTTTCTCATGATTGGATGCACTTGTCTATGAAGTTCAAGGCTTAATGAGCACACTAAACCAATTGTGTGTTCCAATTAATCAGTGCTAAGTAGTTACAGGTATTCAAATCAACAGAATGACAAGGGTGCCCATATTTTTGCATAGCCTATTTTTCACATCTGATTTAATTTCATACAACTTAATATTGCTACACTAAAAATCTTTGTCTGGACAATACCCCAGTACAGAAAATGAATGGCATGCCACTGTGATCATTTTCTGTGACGACAGAGTAAATTATTATGCAGCCTCAGAGGGGTGCCCAAACTTTTTCATACGACTGTAAGAGACTGCAGGCAGTCACTTACAATTAACGATTTTATGAAGCCTTCATAAACCCTCTGTAAGACCTCCATGGATGCTTCACAAATCGCTTATTTGCCAATGTAATTCTATATAGAGGGTGGAATAAGGGTTATGCCATGTTTGGTAAAGCCCTAAATGTAAGGACCTGTTACAACACTTTGTATATAGTATGGAGTTGCTTAATAATAATGTGTTCACACATTCACTCAAGAGGGTCACTGCTTGTCTGGGATGTACACTACCGTTCAAAAGTTTGGGGTCACTTAGAAATGTCCTTGTTTTCCATGAAAACATACATGAAATGAGTTTGAATAGGAAATATAGCAAATGAATAGGAAATGTAGTCATTGACAAGTTTAGAAATAATATAATATGCCATTTAGCAGACGCTTTTATCCAAAGCGACTTACAGTCATGTGTGCATACATTTTAATATATGGGTGGTCCCGGGGATCGAACCCACTACCCTGGCGTTACAAGCGCCATGCTCTACCAATTGACCACCGTTAGAAATAATGATTTTTAATTGAAATAATAATTGTGTCCTTCAAACTTTGCTTTCATCAAAGAATCCTCCATTTGCAGCAATTACAGCCTTGCAGACCTTTGGCATTCTAGTTGTCAATTTGTTGAGGTAATCTGAAGAGATTTCACCCCATGCTTCCTGAAGCACCTCCCACAAGTTGGATTGGCTTGATGGGCACTTCTTACGTACCATACAGTCAAGCTGCTCCCACAACAGCTCAATAGGGTTGAGATCCGGTGACTGTGCTGGCCACTCCATTATAGACAGAACACCAGCTGACTGCTTCTTCCCTAAATAGTTGTTGCATAGTTTGGAGCTGTGCTTTGGGTCATTGTCCTGTTGTAGGAGGAAATTGGCTCCAATCAAGCGCCGTCCACAGGGTATGGCATGGCGTTGCAAAATGGAGTGATTGTCTTCCTTCTTCAAGATCCCTTTTACCCTGTACAAATCTCCCACTTTACCACCACCAGACCATCACATTGCCTCCACCATGCTTGACAGATGGCATCAAGCACTCCTCTAGCATATTTTCATTTGGTCTGCGTCTCACAAATATTCTTATTTGTGATCCGAACACCTCAAACTTCGATTAGTCTGTCCATGACACTTTTTTCCAATCTTCCTCTGTCCAGTGTCTGTGTTCTTTTGCCCATCATATTGGCCAGTCTGAGATATGGCTTTTTCTTTGCAACTCTGCCTAGAAGGTCAGCATCCCGGAGTCGCCTCTTCACTGTTGACGTTGAGACTGGTGTTTTGCGGGTACTATTTAATGAAACCGCCAGTTGAGGACCTGTGAGGCGTCCGTTTCTCAAACTAGACACTAATGTATTTGTCCTCTTGCTCAGTTGTGCACCGGGGCCTCCCACTCCTCTTTCTATTCTGGTTAGAGCCAGTTTGCGCTGTTCTGTGAAGGGAGTAGTACACAGCGTTGTACGAGATCTTCCGTTTCTTGGTAATTTCTCGCATGGAATAGCCTTCATTTCTCAGAACAAGAATAGACTGACGAGTTTCAGAAGAAAGTTATTTGTTTCTGGCCATTTTGAGCCTGTAATCGAACGCACAATTGCTGATGCTCCAGATACTCAACTAGTCTCAAGAAGGCCAGTTTTAATGCTTTTTAATCAGCACAACAGTTTTCAGCTGTGCTAACATAATTGCAAAAGGGGTTTCTAATGATCAATTAGCCTTTTAAAATTATAAACTTGGATTCACAAACACAATGTGCCATTGGAACACAGGACTGATGGTTGCTGATAATGGGCCTCTGTACGCCTATGTAGATATTCCATTAAAAACCAGCCGTTTCCAGCTACAATAGCCATTTACAACATTAACAATGTCTACACTGTATTTCTGATCAATTTGATGTTATTTTGATGGACAAAAAAATTGCTTTTCTTTCGAAAACAAGGACATTTCTAATTCCCCAAACTTTTGAACGGTAGTGTAGGTACCTGCACACAGTCTCTGTGAAACCAGCTGCCATGGCAGGCAGGACACTTGAGGACGGAGTAGGAGAGGACGGGCTCTACGACGTCCAGACACACTGAGCATGTTAGTGGCTCACTGACACAGGACGACACTGGCACAGACTGGGTGGGACTGTGATCCTTGCAGTAGGAGCTGGGGAAAGACAATCAGATGTGCACCAAAGCATTAAGCATGGTTTCTGTTTCTGTGAGATAAGAGTGCTCGTTTCATTCTGATGAAACGGCAGGTAGCTTAGTGGGTAAGAGCGTTGTGCCAGTAACCGAAAGGTCGCTGGTTCTAATCCCCGAGCCGACTAGGTGAAAAATCTGTCGATGTGCCCTTAAGCAAGGCACTTAACCCTAATTGCTCCTGTAAGTCGCTCTGGATAAGAGCGTCTGCTAAATGACTAAAATGTCAAATGTCAATATGGCTTTTAACAATTTGTGAATAAAGGATATATTTATAATCTCAAAAACAAGAACTGCGCCGAGTTCTCCCCTTGTTACTACCCTTGCCATGGCTGCTGTGGATTATGTTTAGAATCTCTAGACACAATACATACTGGTAATATATAATCATGGTCACTTACGGAAATGGATCTGTGAATTGAAAGATGAATTGGTGTTGTTTGCCACACGGAAAATGGACCATTTTCCGGCAGCTTTTGACGTAGCACCCAACTGAGGCACCATTCTTCTTGCAGACCGCACACTTCTAAAACATAAGGTACACAGAAAGCAAAAAAGTAAATTTATGACACAATAATGTTTTTGAACAAGAATCCAAGCAACCAGAAACTACTTAAGGCTAAATCTATAATATGTACTGAACGTCTCTTGTGATAAAAGTGCTACTTAGGCTTGGAGTGGACAAACCCTTTAGGATTATGCTAACTCTGATACAAATGTACACCATACTTAACAACTTCTACAGACTTCACTACTTCCAATGGTCTCTCCGCAGGGGTGAGCAGCGTTTCTGCTCGGTGAGTGTTCAAGCTCCTAATCTCTACCTGGTGTGTCAAGCCACTCTGTAAAACTCTATCTACTGAAATAGTTCTGAGACCATGCGGGCCATAAATAGAACATCTGTTTGTGTGTGTTTTACACCGCATCTCTATGGTGGCAAGTGTCAAAGTAGGCTATATAAATACTCACTCAATATGAAAGAACACACTGACTTACTAGTCTGTGGGATCTGCTGACCTCCTGTTTAATATCATCCACCAAGAAGCCATAGATCCCTTCGTTTTCCTCTCCACGCTGATACACTCCACTTGACATCAGCTGGAATATAAAAAACATCAGACACAGAAAACGTTCTGTACATTTAAGCTTCCTTCAGTGAACAACTGAACAATAAAACAAATAGATTGCTACTGTTTGAATAATGATATTCCACAATGAGAAAATATTTTGGTTCAAGCTAGGCCGTAATACATCATTTTAACAATGAGTAATTTCAATATACACACACACACTCTCTCTCTCTTTCTCTCTTACCAGGCAAAAGTAGTGCACAGTGAGTTCATGTGACTTAAGTGTGATCTTCTCGCCATATTTGTCCGGACAATTTTCATTGAGTTTACAAAGTGCACAACCTTAAAATAGAGAGAAGTACCATAACTTTCTGGTAGGGTGGTTTGATCATGCGTGTGTGTTTGTTCACCATTATCATCGAAGCCAAAGTGTTGAAAATAGTGAGCAAGTTTTCTACTACAACAACATAATGGCCTTCATACTGATGACTCACAGTCTATGGAGTATTCCTGCTCGGATCTCCGAATCCTCCTCTTCATTTTCTTCATGTGGAAATTGCCTGAAAAATGAATGCCTTAGCTGTATTAGCGAACTTTCAAGATACCAGACTGTCAAATACACACTGGGGCTGAGCTCCCTGCCATCCAGGACCTCTATACCAGGCGGTGTCAGAGGAAGGCCATAACAATGGTCATTGACTGTTGGTTCCAGACACCAAGTCTGGAACCAACAGGACCATGAACAGCTTCTACTCCCAAGCCATAAGAGACTGCTAAATAGTACTGTTGCACTAACTCTTTTGATTAATCACATACGCTACTGTTACTGTTTATTATCTATCCTGTTGCCTTGCCACTTTATCCCTACCTACAGTATATGTACATATCTACCGAAATTACCTCGTACCCCTGCACATCGACTCAGTACTGGTACCCTGTGTACACTGTATATAGCCAAGTTATCATTACTCATTGTGTATTTATTCCTTGTGTTATTATTTTTCTATTCTTTATTTCTATTATTTTCTCTCTGCATTGTTGGGAAGGGCCTGTAAGTATGCATTTCACTTCTAGTATACACCTGTTATAAATAAAATGTAATTTGACATAGGCTAGTTTGCCTTCTAGAATGGAGCCAATGGAATAGTCCCAAAAGTACAAACTCCCAGCTGAATCAAGCGCACCTCAAATACCCTATTGTTGCATGGAACGTAATTCCTTGAGCACTACAGATACATCATAGCAATAAGTGCTTTTTGCATTTGAAAATGTATTGGAATACATTGGCTCCATTGTTTACTTTTTGTTGAAGGGCCAGGGCCCACTCTCTGTGGGTATGTTAGCTCTGGTCCATGTGCATGCGTCGGATGCACATGCAGCCAAAGATGGTCCAAGGCTTGCCTAATAAATCAGACTTTGACACTAATTATTGGTATACAGTCTGAAACAAAGCCCTGCAAAATCGTGGAAATGTTCCTTAAAAGCCATAATTTTCCTTAAAATTACATTGGAATTTACTCCACCAGTTGTCTGTGTAGTTAGTCCTTCAGCTGCTCGAAATTTGAGACAAAATACCACAGGAAAGTATTGTTTACTCAACATTTTAGAGTGCCATACTGAAGTAGACATTTCTATCACCTGGCACCTGCACAAAATCATGTAAACACACGTTAGTTTTCATTCATGGTGTGCATGTACTTCCGTTGTGCATGTGCCTAGGGTCATGAGGAAACATCTTGATTGCTTCACACATAGGCTGCATTTAGACATGCAGGCCAATTCTGATCTTTATTCACTAATTGGTCTTTTGACCAATCAGATCTGATGTGAAAATATCTGTGTTTGGGCGAAATATCAATTCGTTGAAAAAATATCAGAATTGGGCTGCCTGTCTAAACACAGCCATACTCGCGTTTTGACGTTGGTTTAATAATACTTTCCTGTGGATATTTTGTCTCAAATTTGGACAAGCTGAAGGACCAACACCATGGACAGTCTGCAGAGTAAGTTCAAATATAATTGTATTCAACGTTCGTGACAGACAACGGACGTTTAGGTTTTTGTCTATGTAAATGTGCGTGGCGTTGCCTAAACAATTGAAGGCATCGCCACGTTTCGTGACTAGTCCGAGGCATCCGCGTGGACCTGACAAAGTTCCCAAAAGTCGTTTGTTTCGTGGACAGACAATTTTTCACAATTCCGCCACTCTTATCTAGCAACATCTTTACGTTAATGAGTTACAAAAGTATATTGAATCAGTCACTAAAATGATATATGAAAGAACATGCAAGCAACTCGCGATGAACCAGGGGTGTAATACTCCAAACCTTCATATATTATATATACAGATATTGTCCAAACGGCAACTAAAACAAGAGTTTCTATTGGACAAATTCAGGTAGGTCCCTCCCCGTGTCGTTTACTTCCGTTTAAGAAACGTTTTGCAATCGAATGAATGAATACACCCCAGAGCTATGGGTATGTAGCTAGGTAGTTAACGTATGCACATTTAGCTAACAGTTACTTTAACTAGATTCAATGATTTCATATTTTATAGGCTTCCTCAAATTGTATCTGTATTATACATGTAGCAACGAGATTTACGAACTCGTGTAATGACCCAATGACTCTCGTCTTCGTTATTTAGCTAGCTTTGGCTGTAAATTCTAGCTAGTTCATGCAAAGAAAGGCATGCCAATAGGCTAACGTTATCTAATTTGTAAACTAAATTACAGACGTGCATAGTTACACTCTAGCCAACTAGCTACATTACAAATTGAGTGCATTCGTGTCTTGCAAACGTGCATCTTACTTTTACTCGATTTCTATCTTAATCAAATTTGTCAGCTTTTCCAATATTTTAAATTTCCCTCGTCGCTCTTCAAGTTCTTCGATGTTTAAATTTCAAACCGAACCAAAACATTCGGAAATGGGAGGAGTCAAAGTTTATTCCGGTAGAATTATCAAAAGCTTTTCAAAATAAAAGAAAATCTTAAAAATACAATTAAAATTCAACTACATTACAAGTGATGTGCAATTGTTTTTGTCCCTTGATTTTCTGTGCAAGGAAATGTTTTAAAGTTTTTTTTAAACACAAAAAAAGAAAGATGTATGCATATAGTCCACTGATATTCATGTTGCATGTTCCTGCAAGATTAGGAGGGGACCGTAAAGTAGGCTACATTGGACTTAATTTAATTTAATCCTAGTCATGTTGAAATATAAATAAGCAATACATGGGTAAATAAACAAACAACCGACTGATATGTCTTTCTATCTAGCATATAAAATGTTCTATGTATGCTTGATTCAAAGGCATACTCGGATCTGTTTAGGCTTATTCGGATATATTTTATTTGTCTGAAACACCGGTACTGTTGTACTGTGAAAAATGAATGGTGGGTTGCGCATGTCAAGGGAAATATGTCAACCACTCAATTCGAGCATATGATTAAATCACAAAAACGTATCTGGGTGCATCAAGTTACATACAACCAAAATTGTCTATGCTTTATCAAATACATTGCTTTATAGAGCTCCATAACTTCTTAATTATGAAATTGATTGTATGTACACTAGGCTATGTTCTGCATCTGTTGGACAAAGACATGAAAAGATTTTGGTATCACTGCAGCGACTCACCAATAGATGGCGGTAATAGACAAGAAATTCCTTTAATATTTACTTTTTTTAGGCATTTGAAAGTGTCAAGGGCCTAAAACGGCTTCATATTTTTCGGATTCGCTGTTTTTTAAGGATGTTTGACATGTTAAACTGGCATACAGTATAAAAAGAATGTCGCACACTATGCAGATGAAAGTCATAGATATTATATATATACTGCAGCACTGTAAACTAAAGTTTCCCTTTCATGTCCCATTCCCAGCTGGCCACCAGCAGTATTGTTCTTTGGGTACCCTAGTTTGGGTGAAGACCACATGAAAAGTGGACAACATCTGCCCAGACACTAGTCTCAGAACAGAGTACCAACCAGCTGTCATGAACAACGGAGAGCTATGGTATGCCATCGTCAGGCACATAGCACCGCCATATGTAAAGTAAATCAATCCCATTCTAATATAAGATAATACTACAATGATATTCCCTCCCTGTCACTTCTTCAGTTTATCCCCTATTTCATTGACTTGACGATGTACAGTAGCCATCTTACACAGTAACTGGAACCTGCCATGAATACATGAGAATCCTACAGGAGGACTATGGATAGTCTGATTAATTTCATTGGGAAAGGAGGCAAGGTACATTGTAATGAGACTCAATGTATGTGTCTTAAACACAACACAAGTGGAGTTTATAAACTAAATAGCCACTCAAGTTTTCTCTGAACTGTAATATAAGCAGTACTGTACGGCTATCTGAACTACCTGATTTACCTTGTGTTTGTCAACACCGCTGAGCTCCAAGATTACAGACTATTCCTCTCCTCCCCTGACAAGTTTCCTAAGGGAGTGTAAACAACAATCTAGATTTCCAACTCTGCACACACCTCCCCTGAAGTCCACCACTATTCAGAGCTGGCGTTATACAAGCTAATTTAGCCAATTATACACAGGTGTGACACTAATTCCCCTCTCACATACTGAGCTCCTGGCAGTAAAAATAGTATAATTACACATATGTCCTCTGTTAGCTTCCTGTGCCTTTTCACTAGCTTCTGTCTCATTTGAAAAACACCTTTTTATATGAAAATACAATTTTGTTGTATTGGACTGACAAACTACAATGCTGCCTGCGGAGAGGAAGGAGTTGGTTTGTTGTGTGCTGGAATGTTACATGGTTTCTCTTTTGTTGGGAGGATTCAATAGATTTTCTATGATAGACACAGATTTACTCAGATGAATACGCATACTTGGCGTGATCTCACCTGTCCAATCATGGTACTGTAATACTGTTCAGCATTTTGATATAATAACAGGAGCTACATTGTTCACACCATGTGCAACTAATGTGCAGAAGTGTCTATAAGACAAGGTAATTTGACTATGAATTTACATAACAATGGCAAAATAGTTAGTCGAAACCATACATCAGAGCACACATCAACACGTATATTTCTGACCTAACACAGAAATACATTTTTGTGTCAACAAACTAGGGAGCTGTAGTCAGTTATGTGGGTCTCAACCAACCATAGATCAGCTTTAATATTGCAGATAGATTGTAGCTTCCATCAATGTAATTGTCTCAACCAACCTTACCTTCAACAAAGTACAAAGTACAGTACATTGATATGAAAAACAATAGTGAAAAGGAGGTGTCTTCATTATAAATTGTCTTTGTCGTGTT